AAAATCGAATGAATCTAGATGGCCATTTCCATTTCCAATGCAAGGCACGCAGGCAAATCTCAAATGTTCGCATTTCAAAAGTTTCACCAATGTGCCTAGGGTTAGGATCACCTACCGACTTGTTGCAATCTGCATGGATACCACTTCTTCATTGTAGACATGTGCAATCATTACAGATGAATCTTAAATGTTGAGCTACTGCAACTCTTACACAAGGTCTACCCTTACCTCAATAGTAAGCACGGCAGGAAGGTCTTCATATTGCACCACGACACTTGCTGCTGCCTTTCGTGCCAACTCTCGATCTTGAGCCACAACCACAGCCAATAATATGCCCCACATGACTTTCCACTAAAATTTATCAGATAAAATTAAGAATCTATATGGCATACTATCGATGACACAGATTCAAGGCAACAATCAACAGGTGAAGGAATACATTGTTGCAAAGCTATTATACAAAACTAGAAGGGCAGTTGTCGCCCAACTACATGTATCACCCCGTGATCTAGTATGAATGAAATCTCTCTGTAAGGACGTTAGAAGGTAGGTAAAGTTAAATAAGTCCACAAGACAAAGGTTTGTTACACAACTCATCTGCCTGAGATGTGCAAGAATGTCTTCAAATTGGTTGCCTTAGCTTCAGCGGGTTTTGGTACAGCGACGCACCTTCTCCCAAAGATGTGTAAGTATACCAATTTGGTCGCGCTAGGGTCAATTAGGGGCGAGTCATAGAGCGGAAAGGGAAATACGATCAAGGTCCAAGGTCCAATGTCAAATAAAAGCCGCCAGTGACGCTGGGTTTTGGTATGCGACACACATTCTCCCCAAGAGGTGTAAGTATACCAAATTTGGTCGCCGCTAGGTCAATTAGGGGCCGAGTTATAGAGCGGGAAGGGAAATATAATCAAGGTCAAAGTCAATAAAGGTCGCAGTGACCTGGTTTTGGTACTCTGCGCACCTTCTCCCAAGATGTGTAAGTATACGAAGTTTGGTCACGCTAGGTCAATTTAGGGTCGAGTTATAGCGCGGAAGAGGAAAGTCGTCTGCGGCGGCGCGGCGGCTGGACAGACACTGAAACCATAGTATCCCGCCGACTTCGTCGCGGGCGGATACAATAAAATACCTCATCAATTAGCGAAGATTGCGTCATCATCAGCGATTTGCGTCCAAAATACTTTTTACCGGGGATATCATGGTGATCGAAATAACACACCACACCAGAGGTGGCAAGGGCAGTTTGAGGGTCCACAGACACAATCCTTGCATGGGCTCTAGTGCTGGTAACCAGCCCCGCAAACAGTTCTCCTGAAATAGAGAATGACCAAGTTAAACCCAATACTGAAAACCTACACGAGGCCGTAACACAAGCGTGAATAGTTTTTGCACTTCTGCCAGATGTGGATCTTCATGTCAATGGTTACAGCCTATATGCCTCTGGAAACCTGGTATTTGTCTCAGCATGACATTTGCACACAAATAAGAATTTAGGATTAGCAAGTACCAATTTTGCTCTAATAAAATATTTCCTTATGTTGCCGCTACAAATTCAAAACACCCTCAACAATTTATGTGAAACCCTTCAAAAGGAATAAATCTAAAAGAGGCTAATGCGTAATTATGAATTTGTACCTCTTAGAGGGGGAAGATCATCACAGAAGAGTGCCTCTCCTGTTGCTTGCTCTAGCTGCTGACACATGACACCAAGGGTGCTACCTACTGGATCATCAGCAGGCTGGTTGCTGTCTACAATCTGTATAATAGTAAGAAAGCAAATGCTAATTACAATGCAAGTGCTTCATTATTCCTAAATTATTCATAAACATTTATCAATGAAACCTTCCATATTAAACTATTCTTGTACACACCTCGTACACTTGTGAGCTTTTTGGTAAGCCTCTCTCCATTTCCCCTGTAGGACAGGTCAATCTTGATTGGTGATTGTAACTGTCAGTAAATAGAGATAATTTAATAGTAAAATTATTGCATATAATGAATAAAATATTAATGTAATACATGAGGTATTAACCTGTGCTCTATTCCAGGAACCATTCAGCAAAAATGCTTGTAATTGATGTTATAGCTGTTCGATGACATCACCATGCTTAACATTCATAAGTTAATGCTACGACACGATTATATAGCAACGTAAGTCGGAATCTGTAACATATAAGATGGTCAGTTTCGATACATCGATCATATGACAGCCAGGGCACCTGTGTGTCAGATATATGATGAATGCTCACACTGATGCCTGCATTTCACCACAAACTTTCATGTAGAACTTGAAGAATAGGCCTGTGATGAGTCTCTGCTTGTACTCCAGCAAGCACCGACCTGGTTGTCAACCCAGGTGCACAACTAGCCTCCTGCTTGGAGAGACTCACAGCTACAGATAGCATGTCTTCATCCCAGCGTCTATGAAAAACCAGGAAACTATTAGTAAAATTCTAACAAATATACATCCCAACGCAGTTAAACATCTTATATCTAGAACTGTCTATCTAATTTATTTATAATTTCACCAAGATCCCAACTTTAAAAATAAGCTTGGTTTCAGCTTGTGTAATCATGTCATTCAGATAGAATGACTTTACTTCATCTGTTCATGCATCAAATATACCTTCCTATAAGACTCCTTGACGTGTTCTTGGCAATGACCATTGATGGGGCAATACCTCCATAGCACAAAATAATCTTTTTGATCACTCTTTCGTCGAAATCTACTCTGAAGCCACATGTGACAGCAGCAATGTCACAGTCTTGACGTCTTGCCTGTTTATACGTGTGCATGTATTGCCCCTGTTGTCAGAAATAAAAACTCTCTATATAAACACAGATAGTTTTAAAATATAACCAAATAATATGAACTGTAAACTATATAACACATATAGTTTTAAAATGTAACTAAATAATATGAACTGTAAAACGAGTAAGCTAGAAATCAATTATATTTTGGGAAATATAGAATAACATTCATAAGCAGACTTGAATTTGCATAAGACTGGTTTTGGAACCTCTCACTATAATTCCTCAACTTCTAAAACGTTTACAGGACATCTGTTAAAAATACACTTTTTACACCAACATCATATCTTAATTGTTTAGTAAGAATATATAATGTTCTGTAAGCATTCTATATCCTAATCACTATGAGCAACTAGACATTTCAGTTTAGTAAACCACGTACCTCACTGCTGAATGGAATTTCCAGTGACACTATAAGTTCATTCTGCTGCAGTGAGGTTTTCCCCTCCTCTGAGTAAAAGCTTTCATCTATCGGCAGTAATCTACGGATGCCTACACAACAGTACAAGCAAGCATAAACATAATTTTTGAAGCAGACATTGTCAATCCTTTATACATATTCTATATCCTACCTTTATGTAACATATATGACGCCATTCACCACCCATGAACGCCAAATCCACACAATAGTATCACATATTTTTACCTTAATTTATAGTTAAAAGCTGTCACCTATACTCACCATCTGGTGACACAACAGTGACAGAGCAGCCTATAACATGCAAGACAGGTGCGATGTCAGATGTGGATGATGGGTTTGGTATGGCCCCTCCAAGCCGCTATAAAAAACAGCAGTTGCTATACATCTAGCTAAACCCTGCATCCAGTATAAATATAAACGAGTTAGCTGCCACTTAACCAAAAATGAGTGCATGCAGAAGGTAGCATGGTAAACTTATGATGGCAAAATACTTTACATTGACCTTAGAAAGCTCAACTTGTACTGTATTGATTATTTTTTCATTATATATTCCTTTTAGTATACGTGTAATGCATGGAATGCCCAATCCTATATCCCATACTCCATGGTTCATGTACAATGATATGATTTACCATTTACAGATAAAAGAATAGAAACACATATTGAGCTATGACACATTTTACACCTAGATCACATTGATCTGACTTACAGCAACATTCCTAATCTGCTGGGATCCGTACCTCTGTAGTGTCTCTAACAATACATGAAATACTCGCACTTTAGGATCTGAAGGATGCTCTGTAAAAACAATACAAAATTTCAGGAATACAAAAATTTCAAACATGCTAATCACTGTTAAATTAATCTTAAATTCTTCTAAATGTGTTTTTCCAGATAATTAGAAAATTTAACTGCAATAGTAATTAATGGCAAGTGGAATCAATTAAAAGCTTTTTTAATTAATATATAGTAATATGACAAGTAGCAGCTTATAATGCCAAAAATTATTATATTTTAATGGTATTATAAAGAACATCTTATAGATATAGGACAGCATATACCTCGTTATTTCTTATAACACTTCGAAGCTACTACCATGCACAATTTATGCCCACCTGCGTGTTTGGAAATTGCAGTCAGACACAGATTCTCAAGGTCATTGAGGGTAACGGCCGCACCCACGGTGACACCAGCGTCGGTCCACTTAATCTGGGCAAGGTCCTTCAGATGCCCAATAGCAATCAGATGAGTAGGTGGGGCCTGCTGTGTTTTCATGTCCAGCGCTGTTGTTCAAAAATCATAAACTGATAATACTCCATATATAATTTTGATTACAAACACTTTCCAATGTATATTCCACACTAGATTTAACACATTTGCCATACGAAGACTGCAAGACAAAAATCGTGGAATGCGTGTTTCTCAGAGAAAATAAAACATGCACACACAAAGACGTGCACGTAAATCTATTTGGAAATATAATAAAATAATACTGAGAAGGTGCTAGTGTTTACTACCTGGTTGGAACAATTAGAACTATGTATATGAATAATTAACTCTTACTGGTTAGTACATTATAGCCCAGCAGTTTCCTGGTAGTACCTATTTTTGTAAATCCCGAGGCAAAGACAGCGTGCGGGTGTTCCGCTTTAAGCTTCAGGGCCTCATCAAGGTTGGCTGGTCTAAACCAGACTGACCGGCGGCCTTGAAACTTCCGTGATCCATTTAGAGTCTCAAACTTGATCTAAATATATGAAACAAACGTTCTGTTGCCTTGAGCCTCATTAACATTATAGAGGCAATCTTTTTTAATAAATCTCCAGAATTAAATACTATAAAAAAATAAACTTCATTCTGAACAAATATAGTATCTCTAGTAGTAGTATTTTCACAGTACAACATGACATGTGTCATTAGTAGGAGCATATGATTTGAATGCAGTACTACAAACTTACCTGCAGCTCTGCTGGGAAAGTGGGCTCCTGGCTTGGATCAAAAGGTGACAGGTCAACATCAGACATCAGGGAACTAGTTAGTTTTAAATAGTAATATTGTTATTTATAGCTTTTCTAGTTTATTATTCATAATATGTATTTCTCGTATAACAGGTGGCACCCTCCCTGATGTCTGATGTTGACCTGTCACCTTTTGATCCAAGCCAGGAGCCCACTTTCCCAGCAGAGCTGCAGGTAAGTTTGTAGTACTGCATTCAAATCATATGCTCCTACTAATGACACATGTCATGCTGTACTGTGAAAATACTGCTACTAGAGATACTATATTTGTTCATAATGAAGTTTATTTTTTTATAGTATTTAATTCTGGAGATTTATTAAAAAAGATTGCCTCTATAATGTTAATGAGGCTCAAGGCAACAGAACGTTTGTTTCATATATTTAGATCAAGTTTGAGACTCTAAATGGATCACGGAAGTTTCAAGGTTGCCGGTCAGTCTGGTTTAGACCAGCCAACCTTGATGAGGCCCTGAAGCTTAAAGCGGAACACCCGCACGCTGTCTTTGCCTCAGGATTTACAAAAATAGGTACTACCAGGAAACTGCTGGGCTATAATGTACTAACCAGTAAGAGTTAATTATTCATATACATAGTTCTAATTGTTCCAACCAGGTAGTAAACACTACCACCTTCTCAGTATTATTTTATTCTATTTCCAAATAGATTTACGTGCACGTGTTTGTGTGTGCATGTTTTATTTTCTTTGAGAAACACGCATTCCACGATTTTTGTCTTGCAGTCTTCGTATGGCAAATGTGTTAAATCTAGTGTGGAATATACATTTGAAAGTGTTTGTAATCAAAAGTATATATGGAGTATTATCAGTTTATGATTTTTGAACAACAGCGCTGGACATGAAAACACCATGGCAGGCCCCACCTACTCATCTGATTGCTATTGGGCATCTGAAGGACCTTGCCCAGACTAAGTGGACCGACGCTGGTGTCACTGTGGGTGCGGCCGTTACCCTCAATGACCTTGAGAATCTGTGTCTGATCGCAATTTCCAAACACGCAGGTGGGCATAAATTGTGCATGGTAGTAACTTCGAAGTGTTATAAGAAATCACGAGGTATATGCTGTCCTATATCTATAAGATGTTTTTATAATACCATTAAAATATAATAATTTTTGGCATTATAAGCTGCTACTTAACTTTTCATATACTATATTGTAATTAAAAAGGCTTTTAATTAATTCCACTTGCCATTAATTACTATTGCAGTTAAATTTCCTAATTATCTGGAGAAACACATTTAGAAGAATTTAAGATTAATTTAACAGTGATTAGCATGTTTGAAATATTTGTTTTAATTTTTGTATTCCTGAAATTTTGTATTGTTTTTACAGAGCATCCTTCAGATCCTAAAGTGCGAGTATTTCATGTATTGTTAGAGACACTACAGAGGTACGGATCCCAGCAGATTAGGAATGTTGCTGTAAGTCAGATCAATGTGATCTAGGTGTAAAATGTAAAAAACCATTCCAAAATTTTCTGCAAAGTCTGCGGCAATGCTCAACATACTTTCCATTTTACTCCTATTCTCTGCTAGCAGAACCACATCATCCGCGTATAACATCCCCGGAAAGCTATTTCCTCCAATGCACAATCCATTTGCATTTGTTATATACGAGCCTAGTAGACAATTCATTGATAAACAATGCGAACAGGATTGGTGATAAAAGGCAACCCTGCTTCAAACCTACATTATGATGCTATATCCAATCCGATTCATACAGTCCCAAACTTATCTTTGATTTATTGTTCTTGTACATAGACTCCACTAGCCCACGACCTCACGACTTCACACACTCATTACCCAAACCTATTCTTCTTAGTTCCCTTAGTAATTTATTCCTATCCACTCAGTCATAAGCTTTTTTGAAGTCCAATAATGCAAGGTATAATGGTTTTCTTACATGTTTCGCCTGCTGAATGCATTGGGTTATTATGAATGTATTATCTCCTGTGCGCCGATCCCTCCTGAAACCATTCTGTAACTCCCCCAAAATATTTGAGTCTTCTAACAATTTTTCCAGTCGATCTCTAATAATTCCCATGAATAACTTACTCACGTTTGAGGTTTTTTTCACTTTCAGGTTGAAGATGGAGCCGTTGATCCAGATGAAACATTACTTAGCTACCTTCGCAACAAGCGTATCCAAATTAAAACGATGGAGGGCCTACTGAGGCTGATAGGGTCTATGTCCTCCAGGGTACTATCGGAGGGTACCCTGGGTACGGTTCGATATATCGGAAAGTACCTCGAGGTACTATACGATATGTCGCTGCGTCTCCTGCATCGTTCCACCGTACCCTGACTTTCAGCCAACTGATCATGAAAATCATGCAGAACCATATTTACATATATGGTTTTGCAGAAAAATTATAATTTTTAGTGGATGACAACATCTTACGCTTCTCCCCTATACTGGTGGGTGAGGTATTACCGCTGCAAGGTATTGCCGCCGTCACGTGCATATTGATTATTTTATATTTGATGTCAATATCAAACCATTTTTATTTATGATAATGATAGTATTACAATGATAACATTAGACTACGAGACTACTAGCTTTTATTAATTTTTTTAAATTATTTATATTAATTGATGATTCATCAATTAATCTCAATATTTTTGTTGTTTCACAGACTGTGTGTGTGAAAGTCAGGGTACGCAGCGACATATCGTATAGTACCCTGAGGTACTTTCTGATATATGATCCGTACCCAGGGTACCCTCCGATAGTACCCTGGGGGACATAGACCCTATCAGCCCTACTGAGCAGCTGCCATCTCTTAATGACAGTCATTGCGGACTTAATCGACAAAAAAGTAATGTAATCTAGCTAATCTGACAGCCTTGACTGACTTGTAGTCTAAGTAATTCTGCACTTTGGTCATATTCATCTGTATACCCAACAACGTTTGCGCACTCGTATCTAAAATTGCTACAGAAAAGCCATATAGCATGACGGAGGGAAGGGGGACAAGTAATGCAGTTTCCCTTAGAGAAATGTACTCATTACAGGGTCACGAAGGGGGGTACAGGGGAGTAACCGTGTACGGGCGATACTGCAGAGGGGGCCCTGGCAACGCGCCAGCCGGCTAAGCTATATAAAGCACGCAAGATCGCAGCGTTACCGCGAGTCCAGTCTCTTTTTAAGCTCATGTTACCGGTGGGGAAAGAGAAAGGAATGAAGAAGAGTCTCTTTTTAGGTACAAAAAGGCAGAAGATAAGGTTGCTTTTGGCTCAGTTTTTAGGTCAGGGCAGGGAAAGAGAAAGAAGGCCGGATTAGTGAACCGATTTTTGGCTCATTTCTAGGTTCTAGGAAGAAGAAGATGAGGAAAGAAACAAAATTAAACACAAAGACCCTTTCAGGGTCCACCATGTAATACCACAGGCCCTTGGAGGCTCAAGTTTCAAGTTTCAAGAAGAGTAAAAGAGCGAAGCGCTTCGCTCTTTTACACTTCTTGATACTTAATTGAAACTTGAAACTTGAGCCTCCAAGGGCCTGTGGTATTACATACACATACGCACACTGGCACTTGGAGCATTTCAATAAAATATAATGCTAAATAAATACGAAATCTATTTACTACGGGTACCAAAGTCTCTATAAGTACTACCAGTTTCTATATTCTCTTTCACCTATTATTTCCGACAATTTCCTGTAAATGCCGTCCAAATGCTCATCTGCAACAAACGCTGGCTGCCGCTGCACACTGACACATAAATATATAGTAACATAATAATATACATAAATCTATATTATATTTATGTGTCAGTGTGCAGCAGCAGCCATGGCGGCAGCCAGCGTTTGTTGAGCATTTGGACGGCATTTACAGGAAATTGTCGGCAATAATAAGGCTCATAGGTCTATGTCCCCCATGGTATTGCCGCAACGTACCCTAGGTACGATCCGGTATACCGGAACGTACCCTAGTAACTATCTGATATGGTTAGGGTTAGGGTTAGGTTTAGGGTTAGGGAGTAAGCGTAGGCGACTCCCTAGACTCGTTAGTTGAGTAGGCGAGGTACGGGCCGGCATTAGATATAGTACCATGCAGGGTACGTTCCGGTATACCAGACCGTACCCAGGGGGGCATACCTTGGGGGACATAGACCCACTCAGCGTGGCTTCCGGCAGTACCCTGGGGACATAGACCCTCTCAGCAATAATAGGTGAAAGAGAGTATAGAAACATTAAGACTTTGCTATAGTAAATAGATTTCGTATTTATTTAACATTATATTTTATTGAAACGCTCCAAGTGCCTGTGCATACGCACAAATATACACACACACTTAGGTGAGAATTTTTTATTTTGTTGGTTTACAGATCCGCCGACCCGAATTTTCAAGAAAAACGAAAAAACAAAAATTGAAAATCTGTATTTTTTTATTCCCGCCGACCTTTTCTCTAAGATATATACATAAAAAAAATGTTAACTTGCACAAACAGTTTATAATAAAAGTAAATATAATTACAAGTTGGTCGAGTTTTGTTTTCATTTAGTTTCATGTACAATACAATACATTCATACATACATAATTCATACAATACAATACTATGTACAATACATACATAATTCATGTACAATACAATACATTCATACATACATAATTCATACAATACAATACTATGTACAATACATACATAATTCATGTACAATACAATACATTCATACATACATAATTCATACAATACAATACTATGTACAATACATACATAATTCATGTACAATACAATACATTCATACATACATAATTCATACAATACAATACTATGTACAATACATACATAATTCATGTA